TGTGTGTGTATATGAAAAAGACAGGCCCTTAAGGGACTAAATGATATGTAATTGTATGATATAGACACTAGAGTTTTATTGGGAAATATACCATTTTTATTTTTAAATACGAACTACATAAAATAATAACGAGCCAAGCTTATATGAGAGGTCGCTGACATAAAGATTGGACAAAATGCCGGGGACCCAGTATTGAGCTTGGGGAACGCCAAAAGTAAAGTCTATCTTTTGGAGTACATTGGTATCAATCTGAACGAATTGCTTGCGCCCAGTCAAATAGATGGTCTTTGCTTTACGCAAAAACGCATCGTGCATTATAGAGAACAAGAGACAAAGAAAGACAAGAGACAAAGAAAGCGCTTTTGGTTATACCGAACAAATTTTTTTCAATTGATTTCAGACTGAGTATGTCCACGTGATTTAGGCTCAGGTCAAACGTCGAACTTCAAATGAGCCGAACCTAATCGAAACAATGAATAAACAAGGGGGTCGCCTTTGATGCCATTAGGTTCGGCTCATGTTAAGTTCGACGTTTGACCTTAGTCTAAGTTCTGGAAACTTTCCCCTGCTTGGTGGGAAAAGGTCCAGAATTTGTCTGGAAATGGCCAGAGCAAAGTAATATTTGGATAGTTGCAGTGCTGTTGGAATAGCATAAAGTTATTACTTTCGTTCCTTTTGATCTTTTGCAAAGGTTATGTTGACTTCGGTACATTGTTATGTTGCGGAAATTCTGTTGTATCAAGACCTGCTCAAAATGCAAATGCCACAACCACGAAGCAAACTGAGCCAAGGAACAACGTCAATAAATTGTTCAAAATCTAGGTATGTGTTTTCTCACTGTGAACATGACAGTCCAGCCGAGTTTAAAAAAGACATATATGTTTCTGTCAAAAAAAACTGATAAGAAAAAACGAACCATAGAGAACAAAATAACAGAAAAACGCAAAAACTAAAATTGCGTGACGAACCATGCTTCACTTGCTCTCCAAGCGAATTCGAGCTACTAAACTAGAGCTTGTATGTCTTTTTCACAAAGTTTAGGAAGATATTCCTATTCATATTATAAGAATATTTTTTCCCACAGAAAAGACAGAASCGTAGGAGGAAGACGCAATGTTTAATCGTATGAAAATCCAAATTACTTGACTAGATAAAAAAAAAATGTGCAGCCTGAATGTAAAATCACGTTCAATTACTTGAAAATTCAAGCTTTCGAAAAGTTTTCAAAAGGTACTCTCATTTATATTATTCAAAAGTGTACACTTTCAGTCACACAAAAAAAATCCCGTAGGGGGGGATTATTTATATTTTTTATTTAGATCAATCACTTTATGCGCTTTTGGTTTTCTTGATTATAGACTTATGTATACATTTGCTTTACCCTTTTTTTCTTCTTCTCTTACTGGTATCACAAAACGTAAGRAATAAATTTCTAAGTAAAAAAGACAGAGAGCATGAAGTCTTCTCTATCTTTAACATGTTCCTGCGGCGGATGTACTTTACTGCAATTTTACAGCAAAAATAGCCAAAGAACGGTCTTCTCGAAGTAAGACGGGGCAAGAAAATTAAAAAAATTTTGGAACGCTTCACGAATTTTTGCGCTCGGACCACGCTAATCTTCGAACCCAAATGAACCAATCACGTCATTTCATTTTGCCAACATTTCGTCCAATCACGACAATTGCATTTTCCAACATCGGTAACCAAGAGCAACCAGTATAAATAGAGGGTATCCGATTTCATTCCACATCTAAGATCGTTTCTCGATCGAAGAACAAATAGATTTATTTGCTGTTGAAAAAAGCGAAATTTGAGTGAATTATTCTCAGTTTGTACCATTTCACAGAAGAATAATCAATCAGAACGACATTTCGAGCTACTAGGGTTCTTTCGAAACGGTTTTTGACGGCGAAATTCCATCGAACAAAGGCCAGCCTCGCGGTATTCGAAGGTTGGTGTCTTTGCTTGAATTAGATTATATTTCTTGCTTGCTTTCTTGCTCTTTTTTCTTTTTGTTTGTGATTTTTCAGGTAAGATGGCCCGTATGCCGAGATTTAAAACATTCAAGGACGGAACTTTGATCCTGAAGTGCACGGAGAAGGCTCGAGAGGTGAGGAACAAGAGCAAGGATAAGCCAACAGAGAAATGCCTGCCTCCAATTGAGGTAAATCAAACGTCTTTTATTTCTTTTATTTCTAATCTTCTCTGTATCGTTCCAATTTTAGTATATGTGCTGCCGAAGCGAGCACAACCTACATAGTGTGTTCACCCTATTTATACTAGGAAACGAGCCCTTGTCTAAGCATGTGGGAACCAAATGGAGCTTGACGGAGGGCGCTTAAGCCTTTTGTTTTGCATGTGCAGTGAACCTGTTGACGTCATAAAACATCCGTTAACGACGGCGCATGACCTGACTTTGATGGATGTGTTTGTTACTTCATGTCCCTACTGCGAAGTTCAACTAAATTATGGCATGCGTACTCAAGGATTAATCCAATGGCTTCATCCCTACATGGCTGTTATTGACGGAGGGAAAGTTTCAAATACATATTTCAATGTTCTTGCCAGCACAGAATTTTTGGGAAGGAAGAGAATAAAGGGAGAGTGATCTCTTCCGAAACGTCTGGTAGTACATCTAATTTTGACTCTGTTATCTGGTATCTTTTATATTTATACAGAATTTTTTGTTAAGTTTTCTCTCCGCAAAACTCTACTGGTTTTTCAGGGCAACCTGTAAAAACTGTTTAGTATTTTTAAAAGAAAGTCTTTATAATCAGTCTTGATTATACCTGTCTAACACCCAGGCTGGTTTTTTTTGTTTTGTTTTTTTTTTTGTTTTTGTTTTTGTTTTTTTGTTTGTTTTGTTTTGTTTTGTTTTGTTTTGTTTTTTTTGCATATAGCCATACCTCAAGTGACATAAACCTGTGTGTCATTCATGTTTTAACCAGAGATCGGTTGGCTGGTGAAACAAAGCAACTTGCGACTAGCTTTTGTGAAAATGGTTAGCATATTAACATCACAATGGTCTTGCTAGTAAACATGAAATATCGCTAGAGTGCATACCTTGTATCTGTGAAAAAGTTAACTAAATACACTGTACAAATTAGTGCAAAGTTTTGTAGGTCTACATTCTACTGAGGTCTATTGAACTCACTAATTCATACAAATTTGTGATATTTATTACAGAGATTTTCACGGAAATATGGTATGCACTCTACGCTGAAAAAAAAAACAAACATACACGTGCTGAAGCGTGACAAAGGTAAACATCTTTTCTACATGATTCGCTTTCTCGCATAAGAAAATGATCAGAAACGGAAATAAGAAACGCAAGTTCAACGTTTTTGAGCCCGCGGTTAAAAAGTGTCCAGTCATAGTCACGAAAAAAATCCTGTGTCACGCCGAATTTTACATGGATGGTTTTAAGGATTTTACAAGACAAATACCTGCATCTTAAAAGAAAAACAAAAAAGGACACGTGTTACCGTAAAAGATAGAAAAGAGAACACCAATCCATGAAAAAAAGTTATTTCTTAAACCATATGAAATATGAACTAAGAAAAATCTGGGCTCCAGATGGGATTCGCAAATCGTGATCATACAATCCGAAAAAGGATGATATTGAATGATGATTTCWTCCTGATTTTGGGGCCGTTTGTACCCGGCTCTGTTTCCCTGGGTAACTGCAAAGCCAAAACGAAGGAACTTAAGAGGATTATGTATTGATCAAGAACATGGAAATAAGAGCAATGATGATATTCAAAAAAGGCGAGTGGAACAATTGCCACCGAGTGAAGCGAGTGAAGACCCTGATCATCATGACCAGCAGATGAGCAAAGATCAACTCCCAAAAAGGAGGAACGTATATTTACTTGCAAATAGCTCAATCTGCTGACAAATCTTACAGTACTGTTCGTATCCAAACAGAAACATTTTCAGAAGAACCTTTGAAGTTTTAAATTCTTGCAAAGATCAAATTTCCAACATGGAGGCTGAAATACGTAAGTTGACCGTAAAACTTGTTGCTGTCAAAAAGGACAATGGAAGATGTTCGTTTCGATATTGAACAGTTTATAAACCCATATTATTGCATTTTTTCGGGTTTTTCAGAATATGAAACACTTATGCTGTGTTTCGATATCCTAAGGGAATCTGCAGAGAACTTGGATCACATGATTCTACAAGGAAGCCCAGAAGGCCAATAAACTTATCCATATTTCGAGAGGTTATAATGATCCTTTGAAACTGAGGCTTCGGCTTTTTAACAAATACTTAGATTATGGCTTTAAGATTTCTCCCACTTGCCGAGGTTTTAAGGACATGGGTCAGGTTTTTAAGAAGTGAACTGGAAGTACTGATCCAATTAACAAGGGATGTTTAATACAGCCTCAGTATACATGTCATCCTTGTTGGAATTTAATTTTATCCAAAAACTGCAATTATAATTGATTGCACAGAGACTTAGATGGAAAGAACCTCTGGCTTACATAATCGGTCAGTTTGCTATACCTCCTACAAATCAAGGACTGCAAGATGGTTTTGGTTGGAATGACCCATTCCCATGAAGAGATGATTTCTCAACTACCTTCAGCAAGGCGATGAGGTCTTAGCAGACAAGGGTTTTTTAATCCAACATGAATTACTGGCCTATTCCCATGAAGAGATGATTTCTCAACTGTACCTTCAGCAAGGAGATGAGGACTTGGCTATCAGGGTTTTTTTTAATCCAACATGAACTGACCTCTGTAGGAATCCCTTTGTAGGGACTGTCTTAACAATGCCAGCATTTTTAAAGACACAAAGCCCAATTTTCTAAGGAAGAAACTGCAAAGTACAAGAAGCTTGTCTACCTTATAGTTCATATAGAGAGATAAGCACATTATTTGGGCGTTAAGTTTTCTATCTCTTTAGCTTTATTTGATACCTTTTCACTTCCATAAGAATGTTATATAACTTGGCATAATTTTTTTCCTCTCTGGTGTAGTGCTGTTACATCATGGGCAGGTATAAAAAAAAACTTTTTTTTCTTCGCATACTCCTGATTTTAGAATTCCATACCTGAAAAGGACATCACATCATCTTTTATTTTTATTTTTGGCACATTCCATTACTTGCCTCTTGTTTGTCCCTAACTTTGCAAAACTTCTCAAGACAGAACAAATAGCATCAACAGGGTCATAGCATGTACCCAATCAATATTGTGCCTGAACATCCAAAAAAGGCTGTTTGCACTACCCAATTCCTTCKTAAGATGATGTAACATAAATATTAGATGTTTTCTTCTTGGAAGGCAATATCTGTAACTTGACAATTTAATGTGTTCTTTCTGCACTGCAAGTCTGAAAACCCTTGAKCTGTTTACCATGTTGAAATAAAGTTCATTGATTGATTGATTGACTGATGTCTTGCTTTATACATGATTATAGCAGTCATAGTTATTATTGCAGTTATAACATGGCCTCAGGTGAAGGATATATTAGAACCTATGATCAAAGGTTTGGTAGTTGACAACTGTCATTTTACTTTCATACAAGAAACCATGTAGGGCCAAATGCTATAAGGAAGTCCATTAAGACTGTTACATGAAGCCTTTGGTTGGGAAAGAGCCTTTTACTTCTGGCTTGACCTCTTTGATGAGACAAACTTCYACCTTTTTCCAAGCTAGCGAATGCCAACATCTGGAACTCTTCTTCCAAGCTAGATGAATTCCACCATTGGTATCTCTCAGATGATTTTTATAGCCAATTCAAATTTTATGTCGGTAATTTTGCTCCAAGGACATTGTCTTTACATAGAAACTGTTTTTTCTGTTATTTCTTAGTCCACCCCATCCCTACTTATTAGCCAAATTGTAGGGTTTTGAAGTGGAATGTGTCCAATGCCCAAACAGCATGCCCTAATTCCCTACTCTTTTCTGGGCAACTACATGACCAATACAAAAATGGGATCTACTGTACAATTCAGACTTGTACTAAGCACAGTAGGGGGTAGGGGGTAGGGGTAGGGTAGTGCTGCCCTAGGGCAGGGAAAGAAGAGTGCACACCGAGTGAGAGAAGTATACTGTAGGTACTTACCCTGGTGGTTGTTCCTGATGCAACTGCATTATCGACACAAGAGCAGCATGAATATARTCCAGTTGTGGCCCTACAGTGTACATAACAGCTACAGGATGCTGCCTCCCTTCGATGTACAACACCTTYGCATTACTAAAATAGCATGAAAAATGCTCAGCTTCCAGAGTTGCAGACATCACCACAATCTTCAGGGGATACATTTCTTGCTCTTTCCTTTTCTTCTGTGCATTCTTAACAATTCCAAACAGTACATCAGTATGGACAGTCCTTTCATGTGCTTCATCTAATATAACCACAGAATACTTCTTTAATAAAGGGTCTCCTATTGACTCTCTAAGCAGCATACCATCAGTCATATACTTTACTCTAGTTTTAGCTGAAGTAACGTCTTGAAACCTAACATTATAGCCAACCTCTTCTCCAACTTGGACACCCATTTCTTTAGCAACTCTCTGAGCAATACTAATAGCAGCGACTCGTCTCGGCTGAGTACAACATATCATTCCATGTCTAGCGAGTTTTGCTTCGTATAAATACTGAGGTATTTGWGTTGTTTTTCCACTGCCCGTTTCTCCAACGACTACGACATTATCATTGTTTCGTATTTCGGTTATTAAAGCTCTCCTTGCGGTGTAAATAGGAAGTTTTAGCCTTTCTTGTGCGAGGTTGTTTTTAGGTTGTTGTACGTGGTGATGGCCATTTGTTTTCGCGCCATTGGTCACAGACACTGAACGAGAAACAGCTCTCTTTGCTGKGACAAAGGTGCCAGACTCTGAATTAGAACGCTTTACGCCAGGAATTACCATCTTCTTGAAAAAAGACATGATTTCAAAAGAAAAAAAATACAGAGTTTGCGCTTAACTTTCCGCCATGTTTTCTTTCTCACACGTGTTTTTAAAAACTCGCTCATCGGGATCCCTGTGGAGTATATTATTTCAAAAAATTAGACATCCAAACAATCAAAATAAATAAAATATTATATAGTTTATGCGTTATTATAAATCTTAAGCCGGTTTTATGATTTTTTAATTCAGTTTTTAGGATTTTTTTATATATGAAAATATGATTTTAAATAAAGAAATTGGGTTGCCTGTGGTACATACAGGTGTCTTGTGGGTAAAGGCAAAGAAACATCCAAAATGGCGGTTTGTTTGGTTCGATCTGTGTTCTCAAAACAACTTAACGCTCTTCGTGTGGGACTTTTCGGTATGTTTTTGATTTCCAATTAATTAAAATAGCCTAGATTTAATAACTGTAAAATATATTATTGYAATCAGATGAAAATACTTGCATATAGTGTTCACTTCTGTTTGCAAGAGGCTACTTATCGTTCAGTCCCTTCAGTGTACATCTTATTATGTAACCCATCATTTAAAGATAAAAGATTATTTCTGTTTAGTTTACATGACAGCTCTATTGTTTTGACAAATACAGCCACAAAAGCGCAATGTGTTCATAAAAGCGAACAGACTTGAGTTTTGTTTTGTTTTGTTTTTTTCAGGTTTATCGAGATTGCAAAGAATTCACACAGATGATAAGTTTGGCAATGATGCCAGGTATTATGTTTTGTGCATGTCATTGTGGAACAAATATTGCGTGGAGTCACTGAAGTTCAAACTATGGATCTCTTGCTCATATAGCAGACACCACACTAAGAACCAACCTAGCCATTTTTGCTGTTCGCTCACTTGTTTATCATTAATCTAAGTTATGCATTTATTTTCGAATTATKAAATATTTGAAATTTAATTTAAAGTGCACACTGTTTGGCTGGATAACGTATTTGAGATATAACGCATGTACTGACTGGCTTTGCACCAGGCTGTGTTTATATTTGAGGACAGACACACTCATGTACAGTCATTTTAAAATATTTTACAAAAGCAATATGAAATGGCTGTTCATGTCTGCATTGTGATACAAACACTCTGGGAGCTGTAGAGCACTCGAAAAGGAAGACAAACACTAGGCAACRCAACATGTTCCTAAGCCTGATCTCTCATACTCTACAGCTCCCAGTCTCTGTCACAGTACAGAAACATGCACACACATTTTACATTCCTTGATCAATTTAAAAACAAGAAGGATCTGTTGTCTACTGTACCTTCAGTTCATCTGAAACAGAAACCGACCAAGTAGAGCATGAAGATTCCCAAACAGAAGACACAGATGGTGAAGATGTAGAGAGTCAAATCCTCAGARCTTCGCTGAACTTCGTTCCTGAGTTTGGCTGGAATTCAACTAGTATTTCAGCTGGTGCAGAGACGCTTGGGTTATCGTCCATGGTCAAAGAAATGTTCCCTCGAGGTGGTGGAGACTTGGCTTTGTTCTTTATTGAAGACTGTAACATTAGATTAGCAGATTATTTAGTGGAAAATTCCATGAAAGAACAAGAGGATAAAGATGCTCTGTAAGTTGTTCTGCCTCTCTTTTTTATTTTTATTTTTACTTTTATTCATTGTATTCTTCAAAGTAACTTTCAATGATAGAGTTGACAAATGATTAGTGTGAGGCTAGCCTTTAGAAGACTTTGGGACTTGTGTATTTATTTACTAAGTAAACCTATCATTACCATAATTGTA